TTGAGAACATTGTTAAAGCAAGAAATGGCATTTGCCTCGTATTCTTTAATGTTCAGCAATTTTATTCCACACTACACAAAATATGCTATCAATCTCAAGCTAAAAAATCATTATTACTTTCTGAAAGGTTTTATTGTGCCACTATGATCACCTCGGTTTGCATTAGAACTCAGAACTGAACTTGACACTGATCTACTAAGGGTGTCACAAAGAAAGAATACCCAGCAGAGAAAGTACAATTCTGTTTATTTTATTACTATTTACTACATGACATTAAATTAGGAGGGATGATTTTCATAAAAAGGAAGGAGAGGGTGCACATTGTAAATTGTTGCCTGAACCCAACCCTGTAACAATAGATTTTGAGAAGGATAGTACATCAGGTAATGTCTGTCAAAAAGCTTTTGAGCTATTTTACAAAGAATATAGAACAATTTCTCCCAAAGATGTGAAATTTGCCAGCTCATCTGGAAAATCAAAAAAAATGTGATTATTCTCAGAAAATATCACAATTTTATGCATGTAATGGGTATAGTCAGTTGAAGTTGAATTGCCACAGGAAGTAAATCAATTTTTGCATAATCTAAACGTCACTACAAGCTACACCTAAAAATTGTGTTACAGTGCAAGCAAGCTCTTTTAATGAAGGTTTCTCTACCTCTAGACACTTTGTCCTCTGTTTTTTCTTTGCTTGGTATACTATTATCTTTATAAACCACTGGCTGGACCTTGTTTCTGTTATGAAGTTTATAAAGACCTTGGATACTGAAGATAGGAACTTGGGTTATGGGTGATGAAGAATAACTAGAACCAAGAAGGCTGTACACAGATAAAGCAGTAAGTTTCCAGTGTCAAGGTCTGCACAATCAATAGCAGTTTCTCTAGAAGACCTCTGTTTGCTTACATGTTATAAATAAAAAATTATTAATAAGGCAATGAAAATGAATTGATGAGTGTGATGTAGTGTTCACGTAATAATTCCTCATGGCAGCTCCCATTGAACTATAATGGAAGAACCCAATTAGAACTTTTCAGATTACAAGGAGACTCAAAAATTTGTACAGATTTTTAGGAGAGCAACTATACCAAGTTTCATGTAGCTGGCATTTGTAATGAAAAGTCATAATTGGTGGCACCTGGGCAACTCACAAATATATCTACCTAGCAGGTATAAACTAGACACACTTACTGACTTCAGTGCTAATGTATCTGGATTTCATTAGCGGTTTCGTTACCTTATCATTAATTCTACTGTAGGAAGCAGCAGTTGTATCTGAAGAGGCAGAGTCTAAAAAGCTACCACTTCTGGTATGCATGGCCTTGATTTTTTTGCTCTTTCATAATGTGTTTATAGTTGAAACATATCATATACCATCTACTTGTCAGGAATGTGGACGGGATTTCTGGACAATTGTTTTTGATACCTCTTGTAATCTTCCTTCAGATGCAGCTGTGTAACATACAGTGATTTGCTCTTGCCCTGTGAGACCCTCATGGATTTGGTGCTTTTGTGAATGGAGATCTCTTTCCAGAACTCAAGTCCGATCTATCAGTGTTTATGCAAATACTATTAGCTTAAAGTGTAACTGACATGATTTTTGGGGTATTTTTTTATTGACCTAACATGATTATATGATCATAAAAATGCTATATGGAAAGTTTCATTGTCTGGAAAAATTTTTTTACAAAGATATGAGCCTTCAAATTTGCTCATTTTGCTTCCTGCCATTTTACATCCATCAGGGGGTGTGGCTAAATGTGATGTCATGCAAGGCTTATGGTTGACTTTTACCATTGACTGCAATATAATTTTAGTAGATGATATCTCTGTTAGATTTCATTTTATACCTTGTAGCTTTAATCTTG